GCTTCCGAAAAAAGTTCGCAAACCGGAACACTTACTTCTGGGCCGGGTTTGCAGTGTTTGGGTTCCAAGTTGTTTGAGTACCAAGGCGTTTGAGAACCAAGGTACCACTGTATTCAGAATAGCAGTTTGCACAACCCGCTAAGGGAGATAATAACACAATAAAATTCAAAACAGTAACAATTAATTGCACATTTAATCAAAATCCAATTAAAACGACTTCTTCAACAAAGCCAGCAAAATTTATGAACTTGATCCAGTGGTACCAGCTTTTCAAAGTCTGATAGTCGTTTACATCTCCAGCATCCCTCTGCTACCCACTTTCCTCTTAGCACCCCCTAATCCACCACCTCCAGGGGGAAGTAGCCCCCACTTTGGGAACCACTGATCTAAGACGTAGGGGTCTGTTTCACACCTTGATCATCTTTCCCCTTTGTATTCTCTCTCTCTCTCTTTTCTTTCTCTCTTATTTATTTCCACAGCCCCTTTCCATTAAAATGTTAATTTTGGCTCTGGAAAAGTTAGATGCAATGAGAGCACAACAGCAGCATCAAAACCAGTTGCAGGAAGCAACAACAGATCAAGTACAGTAGCAAGGGGCCTTCAAGTGCTTATATATAAGTCACCTCCCCAAAATAACCCATTCCCCACCTGTAAAAAGGATGCTGTGTCGTAAATCTAAACAACCAAACGAAGGAGCTTCACACACAAACACAGAAAAAGAAATCAAATCTGGAGGAGGGGGAAGGGAAAGGAAAGGAAAGTAGTACGGTGGTACCTCAGATTAAGAACTTAATTTGTTCTGAAGGTCCATTCTTAACCTGAAACTGTTCTTAACCTGAGGTACCACTTTAGCTAATGGGGCCTCCTGCTGCCGCCACGTGATTTCTGTTCTCATCCTGAAGCAAAGTTCTTAACCCGAGGTACTATTTCTGGGTTAGCGGAGTCTGTAAGCTGAAGCGTCTGTAACCTGAAGTGTACGTAACCCGAGGTATCACCGTATTGCAACAAATCATTCCCATGGATGACCATAAACAGGAGAAAGGCCTGATTCTGCTGGCAGGAATCAATCAGAAGAGTTCAAGGTGGATTTCCCTAAGGAGGGAGTCCCAAAAAGGCAGTGTGGTTTAGTGGTTAGTGTTGGACTAGGACCTTGGAGACCATGGTTCAAATCCCCATGCAGCCAGTAAGCTCACTAGGTGTGATCTTGGGCCAGTCACTACCCCTCTCAGCCTAACCTACCTCGCAGGGTTGTTGTGCGGATTAAAAAAGGAGAGGGACAGCTATGAACGCTGCCTCCTTGGAGAAAAAGTTGGGAGATAAATGCAATAAATGCTTTTGCACCAGCTATTGAGATAACTGTGAAACGTTTTGCCCCCCACTGCAATGCATTTTTATTTAACTGCTGTGGTTAATACCATGCATTGCTACAGTACACCTGAAATAAAGGCATGGCACAAGAGAAAGCACACCTGCAGTAAAACAAAACTTATTTCGTGTAATAATTGCTTCTGTACTTTTTACTACTTTGCAAATGCTTTATTTTGGTTCTGCTACTAATTGGAGGAAGGCAACAAGATTCCACCTGGAACTGCCCCCACACAAGGATGTCGTTGCTCCTGCAAGGAGCAGAAACTTCTTCATGCATTTTAAAAACGAATCCTCAGGAAGATAGGAATTCTGTGCTCTTCTTTCAAGCTCTAGTGGAATATAGGTGTCAGCACAGCCCTGTTTGCATCTCTGCTTCTCCTTCAGAGGCGATTTAACAAGAGTGCCAACAACGGCCTTTTAATCTGCCAGGACAACCTTTCCCCCCATTGAATCAACACATATCAAGCACTATTGGTGGGAACATACAGAATGGCCTGTGGAACTCTCTGCTTGAAGTTAACCCTCTGGCTCCCTCTGTGGTGACTTTTCATCACTGCTTTGAAACCATTTTGATGTATTCTTTTCGGGCAGGGGGAAGAGATCATTTATATGAGAATTGAATATAACAACAACAACCACATTTTCCTGTTCCATTATATATGGGGAGAGGGAGTTTAGTCCAGTGGTTAGAGTATCAGACCAGGGTTCAAATCCTTGTTCAGCTATGAAACTCACTGGAAGGCCCTGGGTCAGTCCCTGACTTTCAGCCCAACCAACTTCACAGGTTTGTTGTAGGGATAAAATGAAGAGGAAGAGGACCACCTTGAGCTCCTTGGAGGAATGGTGAGATATAAATGTGATCGGTAAATAAACAGTGTCACAGTTCTTTCTTGGCTTCTGAGCACTGCGAGACCCATCCAAACGAAACTCCCGGGACTGCTTGGTAGCTCATATTCATTTCAGTGGAGCTCGTCTAGGCAAACGTGCCGCAAATGCTGCCTTGTGGTCCCCATTATGCCACCATTCCAGGCATCCAAAACCTGCCCCCTGTGGCCAGCCGCAGCCTCTCCTCTGGGCTCCGGGCAGCCATCTGATCCCCACGGAGCACAGGTATTTGAGCAGACCTGGAACAAGACCTCATCTCCCTGCAACTGGCAACCCCGCGCACACACAGTTCCCTGCCAAAAGCCAGATGCCTTCCACACCGATTACATTGGGGGGCATCATCACCCAGTGGAACGAAAGCGACGCCTAACCTACAGAACATGATTTCCTCACTTTGCATGTAATTTCACACACAAAGCCTTAATCCAGTTTAGCGCCTTGATTCCCCCAACCCCCCTTTTTAAAAATGAAGCTGAGCAGAGGAGCAATTAGCTAGTGATGCTTTGGGCCAGCCCTGCTCATTACACCAACAGTGACACCCCACTCCCTTTTTTCCTTCCTCACCCCACCATTTTTCCCAGGACCATCACAGTGGAGATCAGATCTGCAGGGGCTGGAGGAGAATGAGATGCCATAATCCCCTCCCCCCCCCATTCATCCTTTTCCTCCTAACAAAGAGCTTTGGTGCCTTTTGAGGGTGGAGAACATTCCCCACTCCCAAGGAAAGAATACTTCATGCCCCCTGGAAGGTATTGTACATAGGAATCTGCCTTATCCTGAATCAAGTCATTGGTCCAGCTAACAGAGGCTGCCCAGGATTTCAGACAGGGGATAATCCGAGACCCAACCTGGAGATGCCGTAGGGCCAATTGAACCTTCCGTATGCGTAAGAGGCACTCCCACCACTGAGCTACAAACATAGAAAGCCACCTTAAACAGAGCCAGGCCATCTAGCTCAGTATTCCCAACACTGACTGGCAGCAGCTCTCCGGGGTTTCAAGCAGGGGACGTTCCTAGCCCTATCTGGAGATGGTGGATATTGGACCTGGGACCTCCTGAGTGAAAAACAGGCAATTCCACCACCAAACACAGAAAACTGCCTTAAACAGAATCAGATCATAGATCCAACACTGACTGGCAGCAGCTCTCCGGGGTTTCAGGCAGGGGGCATTCATTCCCAGTCCTGAGGATTGAACCCAAAACCTGTATGCAAAGCAGGTGTTCTAAGGACCAAATATATATCGTTTTAGTTACGAGATATCCCGGAGGTGACACACACAACCTATTATAAATGCACACTCCCATTAACAGCTCTGTCTAATCAGATTGCTCTTGCCTAGATGGAATGTCACGTTATCCCTGCGGTGTTCAGACAAGCTCTAGGAAACTTTGGCCAACTCCATGGAGCTTGCAGCGCAGCTTTCTCCTGCCAGGGAAGGAAATGCTGCTAAAATACTTGATGCTCTGGGTGGTGGTGGCAACACTCCTAAAATGGCCATGGGGTCTTTTCCACTAACAACACCTCCCATCATAAAGTTCCCCCTGTTCGACACAGGAAAGGACCGAAAGATTGCCTCCCGCATCCACACGCCAAGGAAATGCACCGCGAGGGAAGGGGCACGCGGAGGGACCACTGCCCGCCCCCGTCTTTCCACGCTGGCCAGTCAAGAGCGCCTCTGCAGACACCTGCTGGAGCCGCAGACCGTCAGGGCCTCTGGGGGGCGCTCTTGAGAAGCCCATGAAAGATACGGGGCCCGACCTAAAGCAAGCCCCTTCAAGCGGGAGAAGGAGGTGGGATCTGAACTGGCAAGCCAGGAACACGGAACTTCTGCATCTCCAAAGCTATTTTTGAGGGGGGTAAAATGCTAACCCTTTCCTCTCTCTCCACCTGGGGGAGATGTTGTTTCTCTGACAGCCAAGCTGCCCCAAACTGGCGACTAGCAAAAAGAGCTATTTTGGACACACACGCTAAACAGCATTTCCTTTCATCGGAGGCCTTTGACTGCACCCCATGCCGTCTATTCCACCTCTCCTCAACCTGCTTTGGGGTCCGAGTTGAAAATGATTAAGATGGAGTTCTTTCTCCCCGACAGACACATTTTCCCCGGCAGACACTCCCCCCTGCAATAGCACAAAAGCCTGGCATGGAGGAGGGAAGACAGAAAGACGATGATAATAATCCCCCGCTCCGCGCGCTCAAATCCAGGCGCAACGCGCCGTCCGGTCTTCATTCCTTGTAAACGCGCCAACGTCGAACTAGATTCTCCTCTACACACAAATCCACGTCCAGGGAGGAATTCTGCGCCAAGCGGGGCGGGGGAAGGGGGGGGAGAAGCAAAGGTCCTTCAAAGGCGGGGTAGGTCCCGCGAGCACACCCCCCCCCAAAGAAAAGACACAAACACACCGTCTATCCTCTCCAGACTTTCAGCAGGCGATGGCAAGTCTCCGCAGCCTGCCTCTTTGAAAAGGGCACAGTTGGCAAACGCTTCTCCCCGACGCCCCTCGCCTTAAGTTAGACGGCTCCCCCCTCCCTCGAAGTTGGCCCCCGCCGTCCCCCCTCCTTCCCAGAGCTTCCAGGCCCGCGACAGACAAAGTTGCCTCCTCGGAACTTCTCCCCGCGCCGCGCGCAAAGGAAACCCCGACGGCCACACTCTTTCATCTCCCCTCTCCAGCTCATATTTGTGTGTGTCCCCACCTAAAAAAATTTTTTTCTCCCATTGTGTCTCTTCCTCCGTGCCGTCACTTACCTTCAGCGATCGCCCTCTTCATTTTAGGGGCTCGGGAAAGGCACGGCTCGGAGGGCAACGGGGGGGACGCAGCGGCAAATCCTTCCCAAAAGAAACGCAGCGGAGCCTCATGCAAACTTCCACCCGGGCGCGGGCACGACGACGGGGATGCTGCTGCTGCCTTTACCGGCGACAAGCCCGATGCCCGCCTGGCTCATCGGGCTAGCGAGGCGGAGCGCTCCTGCGGCCGGAGGAGCCAGCATCCAGGCAGAAGGGACTGAGGGAGGAGACGCCCCGCGCGCTGTGGCTCACACCAACGCGCCGGCGGCTGCGACGCAGGAGAAAAGAGGCAGGCGCTGGATCCACCGAGCGCGTCCGCCCTGCTTTGCCTCGGCTCCGCTTCTGCTGGTCTTGCCCTCCCGGCGTCAGGGTAGGGAGGAGCGGGTAGTTGTTTTTTGTGTGGCGAGGCTTTCCCAGCTGGGAAAGGGCGCGCGATCCGGGGCTCGGAGAAGGAGGGACGGCGGCGCTGGCGAGGCTGGTTTCGGCTGCTCCGGCGGGGGGACTGAAAGGTGATGAATGTTTTATGGGATCATGTGGTTTGACGTGAGAGGAATCGGCCTAGATCGGATTTACTGGCTGGAGGAGGCAGAGGGAGAGGGAGGAGGGAGGGGCCGCCGCCGCCGCGCGCTCCGGCGAGGGGGGCGCACGCGGAGCGCGTTAGGGAGTCCTGCAGAAAAACGGGGAGCGCTTGGCCGGAGCGGGCTTGGCTGTGGCTAGACGTCGCTCTCCACCACCACCAGGGTCTTGCCTGCGGGGAGACGAGGGGAACAGCGGCACCTGGCCCCCACCCACCCACAATGCACACGCGAGATGTATGGGTCCCGGGAGCCTCTCTCCAAAGAGAAATCACTTCGGACTTGTTCGGAGGCGTGTTTGAAGATAGGAGAGTGCGAGGAAGACCCTTCAGGACTATGGCAGGGCCCCGTTCGGGCTGGAAAAAGGTTCGGAACTGATGGGAGGTGCGCGCGCGCGGGGGGGGGGGTTGACAGAAGAGAAGACTGCAGCAGCGATGTTTCTCCCGGCCCGGGTCTGTCCGCGGCAGCACGCTGGCCTAGGCGACGAGGCTGGCAGCTCATTCCTGGAGGGACGGTGCCACCTATAGGACGCCGAGGAGAGAATCCGGACTGACTGTGCAGGGGGGCGCGTCGGAGTGCGGGAGCATCTCTCCCTTCTGCTTCAGAGAATAGACATCTCATTCTTGCCTATGAAGCGAGACTCCGTCCTGGGAGGCATCGAGCACACTCCACGCCCACCCGAGGACACTCCCGCACCCGCATTTCCCAATGCTTCCTACCCTGGATGTCTGAATCTCTCGAATATCGGTTCCTCACACTTCTGGGACAGGGTGACTCATCCCTCATCACCCCCCTCAGCGTTTGACACGCGTGAGACCCATTTTGAGAAGGGGGTGGGGTAAACAGAAGGAAATTGGTTGTGTCCTCAGACACACAAACACATACACAGTCCCCCCTCGCGTGCCTTATGCTTGATGTGCAAGCTCTAATCCATATTAGTGATTTGTTGGGACAACAAAACCAGCAGCTTGAAATGGGAGTTAATCTAGATTAATCTGCTCTGAAAGGGAACAGGGACTTTCGCTCTTAACTCTCTGTGTTTTAATGTCCTCTTATCGCACCACACTGATTTGAAAGACTACACAGCGAGGTTTTTTTTACCTGCTCTAATTCACCTCTTGAGACAGGAGCTTGAGGCAAAAAGTCCCGACTTCAAAGGGGACCTTCCTCTGATACGATGGTGGCTGGTGCCCATTGGTTGTGGTAGGGCATAAGACAAGGAGCCCAACATTAGAGGGAGCCAGAGGGCATAAGAGAAGGGACAAACGAAGGTGGGGCCAGTGTCAATAATAGGTGGGGGCAGCTATTTCTAATTTTGTCCCCATCCTCCCCGCTACTGAGTTCTACGAGGGCCACACTGAGACTGAGGAGGAGAAGGAGGAGGAGGAGGAGGAAGTTGATGGGCAGTTCTTCCACTCCCCCAAGACTGTAGGCAACTAAGAAGCAGCACTGTAGTGGTGCAGAGTCATGGGAAGTCAAAGCTCTGTGATAATTTTTGCAGCAGGGTCCCTGTCTCCTTTGAGGAAAAGGTTCGCTATAAATGCAGTCAATCCATTATAAGATATCAGTGTGCATAGGGTCACCTCCTGAAGTTTGCATACTCCTGCCCCACAAGGTAAACTTTGGGTCACACAAACACCCATGACACCCACCCCCTTTCAGATGCTTTGGCATGCTGCCCAGCCCAAAGGCTCCTTTCCATGCAAGCCACTCTCAAGACTGATGCCCCCATGCCACTGACTGCCAAGACCTGCAAATAAGAAGGTGGGGCCTTTGAAGCCTCCTGCTGCTGGTAGAGATGCCTGAGGTGAGGTGGCTTTGATCGCAGCATCAACACCCCAACAGATCTTGCTTCTCCATTCATCACGGAGCAAACATGCCTCTGTGTCTCCAGCTTCCAGCCTGATTCCAGCTCAGCTCAGTTCACACACACAGTGCTGGCTATTGTTCTCCAAGAGAGCTAGGTGAGTGGGGTGGAGGGAAGGCTCACTTATTAGCCCAAAGAGCACTATTAAAGGTAAAGGTAAAGGTACCCCTGCCCGTACAGGCCAGTCGTGTCCGACTCTAGGGTTGTGCGCCCATCTCACTTAAGAGGCCAGGGGCCAGCGCTGTCCGCAGACACTTCCGGGTCATGTGGCCAGCGTGACAAGCTGCATCTGGCGAGCCAGCGCAGCACACGGAAACGCCGTTTACCTTCCCGCTAGTAAGCGGTCCCTATTTATCTACTTGCACTTTGACGTGCTTTCGAACTGCTAGGTTGGCAGGTGCTGGGACCGAGCAACGGGAGCGCACCCCGCCGCGGGGATTCGAACCGCCGACCATGCGATCGGCAAGTCCTAGGCGCTGAGGTTTTACCCACAGCGCCACCCACGTCCCTAGCTGCAACTCTTGCAACCTGGCTGCTTCTTTGGGGATGCTGATGCGGACACCTTAGTGGCCAGCTATGGTCACTGCGTTACAAGGAAACTTGTCTATTTCAGCAAGCTCCTCTTGATTCTCAAGCTCACTGGGTATCCAAAGAACTGGAAGACTGACACACACACCCCAACCCACAACAATAGCACAAAGACAAAATCCATTCAAATCCAAGACAGATGCCAGCTGGGATGAATATTTCAGAAGGTTTGTTGAAAGAGGAACGTCTTGAGCAGTTGCTGAAATGCCAATAGAAGGAATGCCCACCCCCCAATATGCAGTGGGAGGATGTTTCAGAAAGCAGTTACCACCTCACTATAAGACTGATTCCAACATCATACAGAGCAGACTTCCTGAGAGGAGGATCTCTGCGGGATACTGTCTCCTGCAGAATACAGTATTCAATTGGGCATATAAGGGACGGGGTGAAATTTAGGTATCCTGGACGGTATTGGGCTTTGTACAGCAAACACAACACCTTGAACTTTACCTGGTAGCTATTTGGCAGTCAAAGCAATTGCTTTAGCGGCTCCATATGTGTTGGCCATTTTCTGTCCCATCTGAAGCATCTGGTCAGCCCCAAGGGCAGCCCTCCCCCACTGAACACCAGCAGAGCGTGCTGGATCAGGCCAATGACCATCTAGTTCAGCATCCTGTTCTCATAATGGACACCCAGATCCCTGCAGGAAATCCAGAGGCAGGATCCAAGCACAAGAGCACTCTCCCTGTGATTTTCAACTGTGGAGGCAGAGGCTTGACATCTTGGCTAGTAGTCATTGATAGTCCTCCAGGAATTTGTCTAATCATCTTTTAAAGCCATCTAGGTTGGTGGCTATTACTGCCTCCTGCAGATGCAATTTCCGTAGTCTACCTATGCCCTGTATAATAAATAATAATAAATTTTGGAGAAGTCCTTCCTTTAATCTGTCCTGAATCTTCCAGCCTTCAGCTTCACTGAAGGTCCAAGTAGGAGATAAACTTAGGGCATAAAGCTCATTATTCTCCACTAAACTAATACACCATTAAAAAGCTCAAATTCTCAATGAACTGATTGTCTTTCTTCCCCAACTCATGCTACATTACCAAAAGAAATTGGTCGCATGAGCAGTGTGTCCCAAACTCTCAGAAGCCACTCATCGATGGAGGGAAGATTAATCTTTTTCCCATCTAAAACTCCAAACCATACAAGCCACAATCAATAAACGAACCATTGTTTCTCAGTCTTCAAGCAAAGCCATACGTCTGACATCGTGAAATAAAAGGACTCTTGGATCTAGCGGCTGTGTATGCCCTGAAATGCTTTTGATTTCATTTACAACAGAAACACTGTTGCTTGTGAGTTGAGAACATGACCGAAATATGTGATATATATATTTGCTCTAAGGGAACGAACATCTCCAGCAATCATCCTTCACCGCGTGTGGATTCTGTTCCACCTGAACGATGCTAAATATCAACTGAGCAGAATTTTCACGGAGGAAAAGGCTATAAATGGCTACTAGCCCTGATGGCTGTGCTCTGCCTCCATGGCCAGAGGCAGGAATGCTCCTGAATCCCAATTGCTAGAAGCCACGGGAAGAGAGATGGCTGGGGTCAGGCGCCACTTCTGTGTTTCCCAGAAGAGCCATTTGATTGGCCACTGTGAGATCTCAGGATGCTGGACCAGATGGACCACTGGCCTGATCCTGCAGCTCTCTTCATATGTTCTCCATTTTAGAGGGGAAAGAAGCTTTCCTTAAAATTCACACACAGATTGTTCCATGTACAGATGCGCATTTTCGTATCAAGAACATTAACCTCCTCCTCCAATTAAATCAATTCCCTGATTATCCTGGTGTGTATTTTTGACCATCTCCATGCCATCAAATATTTAATATAGTCATACCTCTTGTTACGTTTGCTTCAGGTTAAATCTTTTCAGGTTGCGTTTCACGGCAACCCGGAAGTACTGGAAAGGGTTACTTCTGGGTTTCGCCACTCGCGTATGCACAGATGCCCAAAATGATGTCACGCGCATGCACAGAAGTGGCAAATCGCAACCCCTGCACGCGCAGATGCGCGTTGCGTTCTGCTCATGTTGCGAACGGGGCTCTGGAACAGATCCCGTTCACAACCAGAGGTACCACTGTATATCTGGATCAAAACTTATTTGACTGACTATTGGAGAGTCATACAACAGAAATGGTACTGGGAACAAAATTTTGACAATAATAACCCCGTGCCAAACTTTTAAATGCTGAAATGTTGGTTGGGATGGTGTGGCCTTGTTTATTTCATTACATTTCTCAGTCGCTTCCGTGAGGATTGGGGACCAGGAAGCAACTCCAGTCTTTTGTCTTTGACCCAGGCTGTGGAACCTGGAAGGTTTCAGATAACAGCAGGTTGGTGCATCCTGAGAATGACAGACTGATGGATGGCAAATCACCACACAACCAATTCCACTGAGTTCATTTTCAGTTAGAAAGAGAGCAAACTTCACTCTGATCTGATGAGCTTTGGTGCCATAATTATAGGCTCATCCCTCCCTAATTCTTAATTATAGTATGGCACAGCCTTCTGCTTAGAATCAAGAGTCTTGATTGAAGGCTACGTAGCTGCTCTCTTTGGGTAGCGCTGTGATGGAGAAAGGTCTCAGAGAGAGGAACAGAAAGGAAGGTTGTGACTTTGCTCCTGCCCAACACATTGAGAGGGAGGTGCTTACTTGAAAGTAGGAAAGAGACCTTTATTCAAGCTGGCTGGTGGTGGCAAGAACATGAGAAAAATCTTGTGATTTGGCTGCTACGGTGAAGACATGGAGACCCAAAGACCTTGGTTTCCCAGAAAGGTAAAGGACTCTGGACGGTAAAGTCCAGTCAAAGGCAACTGTTGGGTGGCAGCACTCATCTGAAGAAGCATCTCCA